CTTTATTAAGACCATACAGAGTTTTATAGTGAAATACAAGATAGATAAAGACTCATAATATACACCCAAGTCATATAAGAGAGGGGTGGTTTTTTTCCCTCAGAGGACTTTTCTAGCTGGGATGTATAGAACTTAAAAAAGACTAGCTGTTTTGTGCTCCTTTCTACAATGGATGCCCTCCTTCTGCACTGAAATGCCCTTCAGTGGGATAACAAATCTAACCAAAACATGCAATTTGATTTAAATAACATGTTTGTCACAAAGGCATGCCCAGTGTCCAATAAGGGCACCCCAGCATGGGTTAGCCCAGAGAATCAATCTGATTCCTTATCATTCACCCTTATCTTACTATGTCCTGAGTCAATATTCTCTGAAGACAAGCCAATAATTTTGCTGACCAGAAATTGCAAAGGAAATCATAGCATTGTGCAAGTTAAAATTTCCATAGAAATATCAGTGTTTGCTAAGTTTTTGTGTAGTTTTTGCGATGCCTTTTAGAGGGCTGATAAGGGAGAAAACGGGAAAAAGATATGTTGGAATCCACTATGCTTCATACAAAACTCCTTTAGGAATTCAGCTGACTGTTCAAGAACACACTGTGACAGAAAGAGTGAGCAGAAATTCCAACTTAAGTTCACTCTTAGGTTTCTGCTGTCATTATCAGCAGCATCACTGTTACTGCAGCGGTGCCTATGATCAAGACATTTGCTGTGCTGTGCACCACTTCAATAGAAGGTAATAAAAAGAGTCCCACAAAGCTTCCAACTGTAACTTCAAAGTGTCCTTTTACTGTCAGTTCCCAGAAGATATTTTCTCTTCTGTTATCAGAATGGTATTGTGGAACATTTCTCACTTAGAGCATACCCTGCATATTTCACATGAAGCTGCAGTTTCACAAGATTACAGACAAAAGCTATCCAATGGTACTCAAAAATCAGGAGCTGCCAGAGCACCCAGGTGAACACCTTCTATCCTTTCCTTCACACTCACTGAGAGACAGCACTCTGGACTCTGATGAGGAGAAAGAATTACATGTCTTCAGCTCAAATAAGAGCAAGCTTCATGTCTAAAATACAGTCAACACAGCAACCTCTCTATGTCAAAAGCTGCTATGCATTTTGATACTATGTTAGATTCCTTTACATGATATTAAATGGGGATTTTGTGATCCCTTATCTAATATAATGAAACTTCCATTTAAGACCATCCCAAAACAAACTATGACTCCCCATTATATTTATCACCCTTCCCAACACAATTCAGTTCTCAATTACCCTTCCTATAGTCTCTAATCCCCTAAATAAGAACGCTCCCAGAGGGAAACCTGCACAATGGATAAGTGAATTCTACAAAATTATTCACTTTACACATATTTTAATTAATAAACTTGTTAGTCCAGCAAATAATCTGTTACTAATTATCACAGAAGTGCATACATCACTAACTAAAAACAGGAAAACTGCACTCCTTTGCAAGTTCATCACTTCATATTACTTTTGTAGCATATCATTATCTCTTGTATTTTAATTTGGGAATTCAGGTCTGCCTTTTGTGACCACAGCACATACAATGCAAGTCTTAACATTATTTTTTTTTGCAAGGCACTGTAAATATATATGTTCCAAGAAGCTTAAAGTTGTTGAACTGCAAAACAGTGTTATTTTATACAATTAAAAAACAAATGCTGTCCCATGGGTCGACCCGTTCTCAGTGCACAGTTTGATGCATCATAAATATGGCATTTCCTAACTGTCTACTGCTAGAGTTTGCAAACTTGATATTCCTTTAGCAGTATGTGTTTGTGTGTGTATTTGTTAGTTTATCATCTTCATGGTGTTTGTTGTATACTATTTATGCTGCAATATTCATGTATTTTCTCTAGCTACTAATCTTTTCTGAGAGAAGCAAAAAACCAATGAGTTTTAAAACAAAAAATGTCTCTGATGATCATCAAAGATGAACTATAAACAGCCATCTTTGAGACCTCTCAAATAAAAGATTGCTTTTATAGTGGAAAGCACAAGCTGACCTAAATACAAGGGAGACCATAGAATTTCCCTATAACTTACATTGGTAACACATAAGCATTAAGACACGCTCACAAGGGAGTTCTGAAAATCTTGCATAAATGTTCCCCAGAATAGAAGTCCATATGTTTTCAGCCATAGTCCCTTCTTTTCACCTACTGCTAGGATACACAACTGTGCATGCTAGCTGAGCATGCTGGTCAGGATCTGGGTTACAAAAGCTAAGAATCACTGAAATTGCTTAAAAGACAGTTACAGAATTGTTCATATGTCCATTCCAAGTCTTGGTCTGCTGCTAGTAGCAGGCTGTACCTTAAAGATATAGTCAAACGTTAAGATTCTCATTTTAACATCTATTACAAATAGAATGGTTAGGAAAATAAAAGTACAATAATACTACACTTAAGGTTTCTCCAACCAACAGCACAGCAGCACTCTACTTCTAATCCAATCCTGTTGATTTTAGCAAAGATTTAGTCAAGTCACAAAGGAGCAAAATTTTTGCAAAATCAGGCCCTGACATGTTTTATAATTTTGAATAGAATCATGACATTGTATAAATTTGCATTTGTCAAGAGGTGCTAGCAGCAGGACTTACTGGAAAATTGGAAAGCTAGAACCCCAGTGCCCGAGGGAAAAAAAAGTTTATTAGTTATGGAAAGGACAGGTTGAGGATACACAGAACAAGAATTGACAGGCATAATCTTAACTTCAGTAAAGGGTCTTGACTAATTCTACCTGACTACCTACTTCCATTCATTTACTTAAAACTTCCCCTGGCACCTGATCCAGTCTCTAACCATCTCACATCCTGAAATTCACATTTAAAATCTTCAATAATTCAGCTGTTCAATTAGGCAGCCAATCAATTATTCAGCTATTGATCTGCCCCACAAGGAAAATAAAACTTTAATGGATGGACAGTTTACCTTTCACAAACAGAAGAACCTGAGTTACTGATTACACCTTAGATTTGGCCTCTGCCCAGGCACATTTCTTTGGAAAAAAAAAAAAATGTCAGGTTTTTTTTCTTTTTGTGGCTCTCAGATTAGCCCTGTTATAGTTCCAGAAAATGAGAAATATCTGAAAGTTTCCAACTCTTTGCCACCACTAATAACATTACAGGTGATGCTTATCTACCTCATTTGCTTCTTGCTTAGGAACTGATTAGGACTGAAATGCTGCTTTGTGCTGGAGATAATTAAACACTGTCCTCTAAAAGCTATAATGGAATTTTTTAAACTCAGTTGCATTATTTTGCTTCTTGCTTTTTCTGTGCTATATGTAATTTCTTCATAAGGGAACCTCCCAAAAGCTTTTTCTTTCCTCTTATAGGCTCCTTACTTCTGATTTACACCTTTCTTTTTAAACCTGCTACCCACCAGTTCCTCCTACTGCCTTTCTCAGTGACCATTAGGCTGAAAGATCATCTCTTTCAATCTCCTCTCACAAGACCAATGCTAAAGCCTGTAGATTTCTACAGGGACCATGCTTGTTTCGTAACAGCTCCTACAGTTAGACACTGTTAAACAACTTGGCCAGCTAAGTTCGTCCTAGAGCACAGAACTTATTCCTGCAGATATGCCAACTGCTGTGCTGCTTAAACGCTACCACCACCAGTTTCATATCCTCCTGTCAGCTCAAAAAGGGAAAGCAGAGCCAGCCAGTTACTGACACACCAGCATAGTCCTACATGGTATTTTTTAAATCAAACCTGTTTTCTACTGTCACAGTCTCTAGCTTTTTATTCTATTCCATTTCTGGAAGGCAGGAAGAAGTAGAAACCAGAAGTTAAAACAAACAAGAATACCTAACATGCTTTCCAGAAATGAAGAAAGCTATTTTCAAAATATTTTCTGATGAACCACGGGTATCACAGGGTTGGTATTTTTATGAGAGTAAGACTAGCGGAGAAAAGTGAGAGGAAAGTGAGTCACAGACTGCCCTCAACAAGCCCTTTCCCTGCACAGGGATAGTCACCAGGTGTTAAGCTAACCCAAAAGAAAAGTGACATAATCTCCTAGAGCTCTCAGCAAAGTTATGTGGTTCTTACCATACTTAGGAATGTCCATCAGTTGAGCCCACACAACTTCGACCATTAATAGTTTTGTCATAGGCTGATGAAAGGCCTGAGAAAGACCTACTTCAGGGAAGGAGGAGGAGGGAAGAGCTCATGCAACACATGTAATGTACAGTACACAAACACATACACCTGTAAGGGATTTCAGCTTCATCATAAGGTATTTTTCTCAACTGCAGTTATATGAAACATCGCACCAGTTGCTTTGCATGATTGTAGCAAAGTACTACTTCCTCAACAATACAGACATGCCATTAAATGTATCCATCTTGAAAATGAGCTTTCAATGCAGTGAAACATTTCTACTCAATAATTTGTAGCTTGTGATCATTTTAAATTGCAATAGTGCCTAGCCCTACCACAAGAATCCAAACAATGGCAGTTAAAAGAAAAAAGCACAACTTGCTTGATTTTTGGTTTACTGTATACCAAATTTATGTAAGCTTGTGAAGATAAATATTGTTTTCAAGTCAAGTACAAATATACAAATAACAAACCAACTTCATAATGAAAAAATTGTTTTGATTTATTTCATCAAATTATTAGGAAATATTCACTGAAGAGGAAAAAAATCAGCAGCTTTACATTAATGCTGATAGAACCTGAATCACAAAACTGTCAAAGATAGCATATTAGTTACTTTAAATAGGCATTCAATAATTGAAGGACCATGAGGGATAATTACAGGTTATAAGATGACAGGAGTTTAAATTCACAAAGCTAAGAGTGTATGCCATAATGTGCCAGACACATTGAATGAGTCCCAATTTCCTTTGCATCTATTCCTACCTCTACATTTCTCCTCCCTCTTATCTATGTACAAAGAATGATTAAGTACTTTCAATTTAAATCAGATTTTTTTCTAATCTTTGAAAAAATGCAAACACACATACCTGACCTGAGAAAGAAGAATCAGTGAAGCCTCCCTGAGAAACACAATACACTTGTACCAAGCATCAACTGGAAAGTGCCTTCATCCAAGTGAAACTGCTCAGAAATGCACCTGTGTGGCAAACAGAAAACACAAACGGAAGAAAATGCTCCTTACACAGTTTATCCTTACATGTCAGTCATACCATACTATTCATGCTACATTTCTGGAATGCTAGGGTTTCCTACAGCCCATAAAGTTTTGAGCACCATCTCTGAAAAATAGGTATCCCATCAGCAGACCACCTCACTTGAAGACAGGCAGTTGTCTTCTCCTTCCTTGCCAACAGCTTAAACAAGGAAAAGGCATCAAAAGACATCAAAATCTCTTTAGAATAATGGAAAAGAACCACACACAACACAGAGTGCTTGTTCTTTTCTCTCTGCAGTGAAACAGCCCGAATTGTACAGCAGTTACAATTGAAGTATATAATAGCAAGTGGAGAATATAATGGGGAAAAAAGCACACAAGAACATAGAAATTACTTTAATTTACATAAAAACTACCTACCACTTTACATGGATAAACATTAGCACTAACACAAATGAAAATAATATTATGTCAGCAGAGGCTACTCTTCCTGTATTTAGTGTTCTAAATAAGTAGCTTGAATTCCACAAGGGAGGAGAGTCTTTAAGTCCGCATAACCTTTATGCTAATTTCAGGTGAATCTGAAAATCAGATTACTTCTATTTAGGATCTCACATGCATATTTTTAGGCAGAAATGCAAGCCACCCACACTGAACGTTTTGGTCTATGGATAAATTTGCCAGTAAAATGCACCTAAAAAGGATCCACAGGACAGGGGAATAGCAGTGTTTTCCAGATCAATGTGACTGTAGTTGCTTTGATTTATCTGGCTTGAAAGAAGGCAGTGCATCTTTTCAGAGTTACGTATCTTCTTTTCTCTGGCATTCTTTATTTTATTCTCTCCAAAGATCCATGTTCCAGCTTATGCTGGAAGTTATGTTTTCAGTCTAATAATTAGTTGTTGTATTGGGTTTGCATGGCAAGGTTTTGGTAGTGGGAGGGCTACTGGGTTGGCTTCTGTGAGAAGCTGCCAGCAGCTTCCCCCATGTCTGACAGAGCCAGTGCCAGCCGGCACCAAGTCGGATCTGCCCCTGGCCAAGGCCAAGCCCATCGGTGACAGTGGTAGTGCCTCTGGGATAACATAGTTAAGAAAGGGGGAAGTTTCTGCACAAGAGCAGCCAGGAGAGAGGGGTGAGAATATGTGAGAGCAACAACTCTGCAGACACCAAGGTCAGTGAAGAAGTAGGGGAAGGAGGTGCTCCAGGTGTCGGAGCAGAGGTTCCCCTGCAGCCCCTGGTGAAGGCCATGGTGAGGCAGGCTGTGCCCTTGCAGCCCGTGGAGGTTAACGGTGGAGCAGATACCTACCTGCAGCCCGTGGAGGACCCCACACCAGAGCAGGTGGGTGCCCAAAGGAGGCTGTGACCCCAAGGGAAGCCCATGCTGGAGCAGGCTCCTGGCAGGAGCTGTGGCCCCATGGAGAGAGGAGCCCACACTGGAGCAGGCTTGCTGGCAGGACTTGTGACCCCATGGGGGACCCACGCTGCAGCCCATGGGAAGGACTCATGTTGGAGAAGTTCATGGTGGACTTTCTCCCATGAGAGCTACCCCATACTGGAGCAGGAGAAGAGTGTGAGGAGTCCTCCCGCTGAGGAGGAAGCAGTGGCAGAGACAACGTGTGATGAACTGATGACAACCCTCATTCCCCATCTCCTTGTGCAGCTCTAGGAGAGGAGGTAGAGAAATCAGGAGTAAAGTTAAGTCCAGGAGGAAGGGCAGTGTAGTGGGAAGGTGTTTTAAGATTTGGTTTTATGTTCTCATTACCCTACTTTGATTTGATTGGTAATAAATTAAATTAAATTTTCCTCAAGTTGAGTCTGTTTAGCCCATGACAGTAACTAATGAGTGATCTCTCCCTGTCCTTATCTTGACCCATAAGCTTTTTGTTGTATTTTCTCTCCCTTGTCCAGCTGAGGAGGGAGTGGTAGAGCAGCTTTGGTGGGCACCTGGTGTCCAGCCAGGGTCAGCTCACCACAATTGTATTAAATAGTTTAAGTTAGTTCCCACTAAAGAGAAACTTCTTGTTTACATGCTATTTTCCATTTGAGATAGAAAAGACAAAGTGTAAGTACAGCATTATTTAAGTAACTACGGGAAAATATATTTTATCTGATGTGAAATTTACTTCTTTTTTTAGCTTTTTCTTCTTTCCTTGTCCTTTTGAGGAAGACCAAGGTATGCATTTAAAATCAAACATTCCAATCAGTTCTAAGTACTGTAGTACAATACTGTACTCAGAGTACACTACATAGCTCAGCAACTACTTGAAATACTAGACATTTTCATCTCTATAAGTGGGACTGACACATACCTTTATTCAGCCTTACACTTTAGAGACATACTTAGCCTTGAAATATATTGATCTGCAAATAAAGCAAGATTTTTTTCCTCAGAAGTTCAACAGACTGATTATATTGTAACCATACTGTGATTATACTTTTAATAATCACAATTTGTCATGCTATGGGATACAACTGTAGTTTGCAAACACTGTTACTGTTTCAGGGTAGGAAATACTTCAACCAAAAGCTAGTATGATTGGATTATTTTTCCCACTACTGAAAAACTAAAATCTTTGTATACAGATTTCTGTATACAGAGTTCTCTACAAATGATGATTTCTGTAATTTCACATCACTGGGATCCCTGAGCTACTTTGACTAATATACATCAGAAAACAGCCTGAATGGAGAGTGCTTTGGGTCAGAGAAGCTCTCCTTATGGCAACTTTGGCTTCTGAGAAGTTTGAAACAAGGAAGTTATTTCCTCAAGCCTCCTCAAGTGAACCAGACATCAGAGATAGTAGCCCTCCCGGGAAGCTGCTAGTAAGCTCAGACGTTAGTACATCTGTAATTACTAAATTCAAAGAGCAATGTTCTACATGTTATCTTTGACATTCATCTCAAGGCCCGGTGGTTATAAAGATAAGCAATCCTTATAACTTCTCCCCCCAAAATTCCACCATAATTACCCCAGGCAACCAACATTTGTGCACACAGGGACTCTCAAAATATCTTATTCATGTCTAAGTATACATGTAAACTGTAAGAAGTGTGTACATGCAAACTTTAAAAAGTATACACTGACAAGCAAAGAAAGAGATAACCCTGCAGACCTTGGAAGGGAAAAAAGGCTGTTTTCTTTGGATGGAGACTTAAGCCACTACTTCCTCAGTGAGTTTAATATTTTCCTCCCACACTAGGTTTATTTTTATTTTAATTCTTTCCTGTGGCACACTCTGAAGTGCCTTCTACTGTGTGCTTGGCAGCCACTCTTTCACTGTCCAGCTGCTTTCTCTTGCCATTGATGCTGGGTTGCCTTTTCTATCAATGCATAAAATTTACAAGCACATTACAAGCAAAATTACAGGCAGCCTTCCTGTTTGACAGGAACCGTATTGAATAATGACTTCCAGAGGAGTATCTTCCACAAACAATATATGCAGTTTCTCATTTCCTCTTGGCAAGAATGGTATATCCAATTTCTGCTAATTGCTTCCTTTAGACACACCAAAAAAAAAAAAAAAAAAAAATACGCTGATTATTTTAGGCAAATCCTTCTAAGTTTAAACTATCCACAGGGAAATAACCTGAGATGCAGCACAGCAGCAGAACCTTAATGTTATCTTCCATTGCATGCAGCTGAATTTTGCAGGTGTTTCATTCATCTCTCTATGATGCCAGGCATAGGTAAAAGGGCTCAGAACAATTTCTTGTTAGATCAACTTTGAAAATTACACCTAAGCTCTCTTTCAAAAACAATTGATTTCTTGACTTTTAAGTAAGTTAAATGTCCTGACAAGACTTAGAGCTGTCCCATGTCAGCAGTACTAATATGAGAGACTTTTCTCAAGTACATATTTCACCAATATCGAACTTGGTCTCAAGCTGCAAAATTCAGACTCAGAGTAAACATGAGTAGATGTGCCAGACACTAAAGGACCACAGAAAAAGCTGATAAATCAGTCCATATTACATGTGTCCATATTACCTAAGTATCTAGTGGATTAGGTACCTGATAAAAGTCAGGATACTTAAGATCTATTACTGGCTCTGGCTATAACCTGTTAGATGATACCTAGAGAGTATTGCCTTCTCATGTTTCCTGTTCCTCCATTTATATCCCCCAGACTTTCTAGAGTGCTTCCAGCTTGAGGTTCTGTTTTAAAATATCACATTTTCACATGCATATCCCACAAGCTACCTGTGAAAAACTAAAAATTTACCAGCATGGATTGTAAGTGCATATAATTGACATAAAGGTTACTCAAGAGACCACCTTTTCTCCTATCTTCTCACTCCTAAGTCCCCATAGCCTTCTTTCTCTTCCCAATACATCCACTGTCTCTCATTATCTGAGGGAGCATTTCCAATCACTACTTCTTTGTAAGGGTGCAAACTGAACACATGAAATTACGTGTGATTAACCAAACACTTCCCTGCTGCCGTTGTATTTCTGTTTGTCATGAAGACATGAAGAATGCAACATGTGCAGCCAACAGGGATCTATTCTGTTTTAAGTGCAGTAACATATGAAATATGGTCCAAGTGACTAATGCTTCTCAATACACAGTGAGACAAAGAGGTTATCCCAGTGGTGCATTCCTGCACAGGGTCTGTACACTGCAACATGCCTTCCAGGGCTGCTTCAGCTTAAACCAGTGGTGACACCACACTGACTTCCAGCTGTTTTACAGCTAAGATATGTATCTTCCATATTTGCCACCTGATTCCCGTGACACAAAGTAAAAGAGGAGTGAATTTAGTCCAAGAAAAAAATCTTCTTTTTAGTGACTGATCTGTATACAAATGACAAGACTTTGCCAATGTGTGAGCTTGGGCAGTTTTGCCTCTACAAATGGACACAGAGTATTAGGCCCAAGTTTAATATTAAATTAATATTACATTGGTTGTATAACTAGAAGCTGATGGCATGAGTCAGAAAAATTACTTTTTGATGGGAGGGGTTCTCTTACAAAAAAGAT